CTGTAGTTTCAATGGAGCTGACAGTAATTTGAAGTACAGTTTCAATGGAGCTGACAGTAATTTGAAGTATAGTTTTAATGGAGCTGATAGTAACTTGAACTGCAAATTCAGTGGAACTGATAGTAACGTGAACTGTAGTTTCAGTGGAACTGATAGAAACTTGAACTGTAGTTTCAGTGGAACTAATAGTAACTTGAACTATAGCTTCAATGGAGCGGATAGTAATTTGAAGTATAATTTTAATGGAGCTGATAGTAACTTGAAGTATAGTTTCAGTGAAGTTGATAGTAACTTGAACGGTAGTTTCAGTAGAACTAATAGTAACTTGAGCTGTAGTTTGAGATGAGCTGATAGTAACTTGAACTGTAGTTTCAATGGAGTTGATAGTAACTTGAACTGTAGTTTCAATGGAGCTGACAGTAATTTGAAGTATAGTTTTAATGGAGCTGATAGCAAATTGAACTGCAGATTCAGTGGCACTGATAGTAACGTGAACTGTAGTTTCAGTGGAACTGATAGAAACTTGAACTGTAGTTTCAGTGGAACTAATAGTAACTTGAACTGTAGCTTCAATGGAGCTGATGGTAATTTGAAGTATACTTTTAATGGATCTGATAGTAACATGAACTGTAGTTTCAGTGGAACTAATAGTAACTTGAACTGCAGTTTCAGTGGAACTGATAGTAACGTGAACTGTAGTTTCAGTGGAACTGACAGTAATTTGAAGTATAGTTTCAATGGAGCTGACAGTAATTTGAAGTATAGTTTCAGTGACGTTGATAGTAACTTGAACGGTAGTTTCAGTAGAACTAATAGTAACTTGAGCTGTAGTTTGAGATGAGCTGATAGTAACTTGAACTGCAGTTTCAGTGGAACTAATAGTAACTTGAACTGTAGTTTCAGTGGAACTGATAGAAACTTGAACGGTAGTTTCAGTGGAACTGATAATAACTTGAACTGTAGTTTCAGTGGAACTAATAGTAACTTGAACTGCAGTTTCAGTGGAACTGATAGTAACGTGAACTGTAGTTTCAGTGGAACTGATAGAAACTTGAACTGTAGTTTCAGTGCAACTAATAGTAACTTAAACTGTAGCTTCAATGGAGCTGAGAGTAATTTGAAGTATAGTTTTAATGGAGCTAATAGTAACTTGAACTGTAGTTTCAGTAGAACTGATATTAACTTAAACTGTAGTTTCAGTGGAACTGATAGAAACTTGATCTGTAGTTTCAGTGGAACTGATAAATGCGTGACTTACGTTGTCGTTCAGGGAGATGATGTATAACAGTTTACAAACAGTAGATTAAATGATCAAATAAATGTGACTTAAACATATTTAACAACTAATTATGATTGGATTATGATGCAATAAATTTCGTCAGATCACCTTTATTTACCTTAAACGTTTTTATGCGTTTTTTTCGGGAAATTTTTATGCTCCATTTCCTCTAAAGAGGAATAAGCGACATCCTTTGATAAATTACACAACTATCAGCGTATTTTCATATCACAAGTACGTTAAACTAAATTTTGTCATTGAAGCATGCAAATTTATCGAAGAACAGCGTCTGAAACTACAAAACAAAAGTTCGAGAAGAATATTATAGTTTTAAATCTAATTATTTATTATTATTCTTGAACGGAATTTTGAAGATACATATATATCTATGTATATAAAGAGAGAGAAGTTTGAGCGGCTCTTTATTGTGCACACTTATGTTATATAATCTTTTTTATTTTATTTCTTATTTACTTTTATTTCTCGTGTTTTATTATTTAACTTTAAAATTTCTTTGAACTATTTAAGTTTACTTTTGTTTGAGCTGTTTATTCTTTTTAAAATTAAAAACAAGATCAACGTTTAACATGCACAATAAAATTTTTATTTAGCCGATGGATAATATTAAAAAGACTCTACGTGCTTCGATAGCTTTACGCTACCATAATCAAGAGTAAAAACCTAAATGATCACAGCGGTATGTCTGCGGACTTACAACGCTAGAAACCGGATTTCGATACCCGTGGTGGGCAGAGCACAGATAGTCCATTATTTAGCTTTGTGCTTAATTCCAAACAAACCTACATGACAAGCTGGTAGTTTTATAAAGCAAGGGTTTAACGCATTGTAATATATGAGAGTGGTATGAGTATTGTACATAAGAAGTCTATATTTCATTCCAAAATTGTGGATTATCGCCAGCTAATCCTAACAAATAATTATTTATTTTACAGCACAAAATGTCTATTGATTCTATAATATTTTATTCACTTTTACTGTTAAGTTCATTTAAAATTATTGTTTCATATCATTGTATTGAATGACCTGTTTAAACAATGTGTTCAGCAAGAAGAGAAATTAGTTTGTTTTTTTTGTTACGTACAAAACCTTTATGTTCATTAAGACGACATTTGAAATTACGTTTAGTTTGACCAATGTATTTTTTGTTGCATTCACACCTAATTTGATATATATATATATACCTCTTTTCTCTTAAATGTCTTTTTTTATCTTTAGTGCTAGGGAGTATTGTTTTAATTTTGTTAATTGGTTTAAAAATAGGAATAAAATTATTTTGTCTGAATACATTGGCGATTTGGCTAGTTATACTTTGTATATATGATAATATTACTGTGCGGTTAATTTTATTACCATAGACGCAGTTTAATCTAATACATTGCTTGATAAAAATTTGAATTATATTTTCTTTGTATTATACGTTCAATTGTATCAACATTACAGCCTCTTGTCGTTAGCAATGCTTTTTATATAATTCAATTCGTTATTCACATTAGTAGAATCAAAACCATTTACTAATGCTCTGTCTATATAAGCATGAAAAGCTGCTAGTTTCTGAGAAAATAGCTGGCATTATATTTGATGTGGCGGCATGGAGACTGAATATGGTTTCCGATATACAGTTGTGGAAATAGTTACATTATTATTTCTTTTAATAAGTATGTCTAAAAAGGTAAACAATTATCTTGTTCAATCTCATACGTAAACTGAATAGACTTAGAAGGATCAACATTGTTTAGATAATCAGCAAAATGTTTTCAACTTAATACCTCCATGCCACCAAACCAAGAACGTGTCATCAACAAATCTAATCCAACGATCAGGTTTTAAAAATCATCATCAAGAGCAATACGTTCGAAGTTATCCATATAAAGGTCACATAGGAGTGGAGAACTCGTGGCTAATCCAATATTCTGCTCATAATACAATTTTGATTGGAGAAATGGAAACTTGAACTAATTTGTCATGAAAACAATTTGTAACGTATCTGCTTGTTTGTTAATTTCCGGTATAAATTATTTCCGAGGATCTTCAGCGATACAAGTCCTTTCTTGATTAAATCAGTTTATTCTTCCTCGATACAAACTTTTAGTACACAGAAAGTTCCACAATCAGTACGTTTCTCATCACTTTAAACTTAACAACTTTTATAATACAAGCTATAAATCACAGCGATTCACAATTTCGATGACTTCGCTCTCGACGAGTGCAAGATACACACTTTACGGCTCACTAGCTCGAAACTAACAGAACCATAAATTACACAGTGACTACTGTTCTCTCTTCATTCATATCTCCCGCCCCGTTGGCTTTCCTCTGCCAGGCTTATATACTAACAAAGAGGGCATCTCGAAAACACTCGGACTTCCCCGATCATTCGAGAAACTCATCACGCGCGCCACCAGCGTCACGTGACTTCCGCTGTCGTAACAAATTAATAGCATATTCCACCAGGACTTTAGCAAACAATGAAACTACATCAAACGATACCAACTTATCACAAGAATTAAGATTAATGTTATTCATTTTTTCAACAAATTCAGCAGTGTATTTATTCTTACTACTCAAATACGAAAACCGTTAAACAATGTACTTTGCAACATATTGTGACGAGGTGCCTATGCTGGATACAACAGGTCTAAAACTATTGTTTAACTTATGAATCTTAGGTAAGGCGTAAAGACGGGGTAGACAAAAATTGGAAGGAATCAAACTCTTTTTTTTTTGGTTGTTGTTGTTCTGGTGACAAAGTTATACATTGATCAACATGTTTTTTTGTTTTGTGTTTTTATCAAGTTATGGATTTTGTTGTAGAATGTCTTTTAGGATCAACTGATCTACACCAGAAATGTAATCAGATTTCTTCAACACCACACTATTATTGTTATTCTTTACGGACTGCAAAGCTGTTTTTTCTTCTGTCGTCAAATTCCTATGCACTTTAATATTTCGTTTTGATATTATATATTGGCATCGATATCTAGTAATATTTTTAATTTTATTGTAATTAATTTGTTCAACGTTAGATTCTATATTAGTTACTAAATCTTTAATAGGTAGAATTTGTGGAGATACTGCAAAATTTAAGCCTCAATTCAATAAATTAATTGACATGTTTGTAAGGTTGACATAAGACTTATTAATAACTTTTATGCTACATATTGGTAATACTTCAGAAGTTTCCTTTTTCTTAGACCCACATAAAGATTTAAACTTGATATCTACAGTAGTTGCTTATCATATTATTAGGCCCGGCATGGCCAAGTGAGCAGATGGGGAGTCGAGCGCCCTAACCACCTGGCCATGCCGGGCCGAACGAAATAGAAAACGCATAGTATGTTTATATAACATGGATGTAATACAGTTGTACGCTTTAGAATAAAATTGTCAAAGTCTCAGGATCTGCGAATTTAGTTTAACTAATTTAAGTGTTCAGGTTAAAAATATGCATGTAGTAACTGTTAATACAAGATTTTCTTTTTCTACTAATATGAGACATCAACTAAGATATATGTTTGCTAGAATGTGTCACCAGTATCATTTCTATATAAATGCTCTATTTTAACATTGAGATTAATGAAAGTGAATGTATTCATTACTTTTATTTTTTAATTATTTTAATTTTTAAATTTCCAAAACAGTTTAAATGTTTAAAGCTTCGAGCTAAATATTTGAAAGCAATTTAGAAATTTAAGAAATGCTCCCTGAACTATAAGTACGCATGCGCATTCGGTAAAACGCCTAATCGTTCTTTCTTTCCAAAGTAGATAATGGCGGACCAGGTTGGTATTACTTGCTCTGTTAATTAGTCTTTTCAGTTCATTAAGTTAAGTTTGGAACAGTAATAATATATTTCAGAGATCTTTAAGTTCAATGTTACTTAGTTTTGTAACTTATCCGTTTTGATTCGAATGAATGTACTTAGGATAACATTAAAGCTTCCTTAGATAGGCTTAATAAATTTTCGGGCCTAACACGTGGCTCCTTTTATCTGTAAGTTAGTTATCCAGGGACTTACAATTCATTGCTCTTAAGTTACTGTAAGAAATTACTGTATTTATTATCATCACATTACTATACTTCATAATCAAATATACATATTAAGCTCAGTAGAAATGATGTAATTCTAATTCAAATTTACTGTCGTCTGATTTTCAAAAAGTTAAACTAATCACTGAAAAAATGAAATTGAATTTGATAGACTTGGCAAGTATTTAATATATAGACTACTAAGAGTAAGAGTTTAACATAATGCAAGCTAGTCACAAGCCTTTTCCTGGCAGTTTTTCATAAATAGCTACATTTTAATTTTCAATTTGATTGGTATTATCAACAATGAAAAAATGTAAGGAAATTGGTCTTGGTGATTGCGACATTTCACAGTATCTAATTTTGTAGCATTTGTGTATCTGGGACAGTTGGCCAGAAAAATTGACCTGGAATGAGACATAAATAATACTGTCAGAATTTATTCAAGCACAATTATTTTGATGCCCATAAACAAGAAAAAATCGTGAGCAAGTTATTAAGTATGAAACAAATTATAGAAATAATTCTTATAAGGTATCCCTTTTTTAGGGTATTAGGGGAATTTTTGACTACTTAACAGGAAATAGTTACCTAATTTTAAAAAGATCTTATAATTAAGATATTTATGTCTGAAAAAAAACTGGAGTGTTTTGTGTAATTACGAAATACGAGGTGTACAGTCAGATGTTAATGTGAATGTCCAACCACTTACATGTTTTCTGACCACCAGAGAAAGGTATAACATTTATGTAGAAATTGTTAAATTCAGTTGATAACATTTTATGCACTAACAAAATTAAGAAAGGAGTGTCTACACAGGCCTGAAAATTTAAACTTCATAAGAGTTGTTTTGGTTTTAGTAACGGATTTTTCCATAATTCAGCTATGCAGATTTTGAAAATAATATTAATGTTTTTCTATCACGTAAGGATTTTTTACAAATTGAGAATAAAAAAAAACTTCCTTAGATCAAATTTACCACAAATATAACAGAATATGTCTGGGTCATTTATACAACCTCTTGTTGCCATAGGTAATATTGAAAAGAAAAGAATAATGTGAGAAGTGCATGCACAAACAAATACTATCCAGAAATGATACGTTGTGTGACCTGTTAACCATTTATATATTAGTGGTGTGTTTCTTGTGGGTTCTAGAATGAACTATAACTCGCATTGTGATTGGTCTAAAGAAATATATAGCTAGTGGTTGTCGACATTTTGTGGTGCAGAAAAATGGATATTTTCAGATTCAGTGCACAAAAATTACTGTAGAATTTAAAAATTTCAGGGCAATAAAACCATCACAGGTCTGTGTTATAAATAATAAAATTTGTTATTCAGATGGGAAAACTTTACTGCTTACACATCCCACAGATAAATTGGTAGTGACAATTATCATTTATATCCATATTCTTAGTGTCAGTAAATGTTTTATGAGAGCACTGTGGACATGCATCACAACTTGCCCATTCATTCCTCTCCAAAGATTTTGCAGTTCATTTTTCTTGTTTTTTGCTCTGGATCATGAGATACTAGCTTTTTGTTTTGTTTCTCCTTCATCTTGATGGGTTTTTCTTTTTTTTTGTCCTTTTTTTCTGAAGATAATTTGTGTAAGTGATGCTGCTTATACAATGAGGGACTTTTCAAAAACCCTTATTTGTTATATGATTTTGAGAAGATTGTATTAAATTTGAGCCTTTTTAAAGGGTAATGAAACAGGCAAAATGTTATTTAAGATCCACTTATTTGGTTCTCCTTTTGAGAATTTAATGTTGGTGTGTTTTCATTGTTCAACCACTTGGCTTTGATATAACTTGGGAGCATCTTTTCAACTTCATTTGTGTGTATAGTTTCAGTAAAATATAGTTGTGATGCTGTTTATTTTGATTCATGGTATACTTTGTTTATATAGTGATGATGGTAAAAATTTCATTTAACAGAGAAAATTAACTTATTTTCTGCTATTAAAAACATTCTAGCCCTTCCTTCATGAAGCATAAACAGGTGAAAAAACTTAAAATGCTTGGACATTGTGTAAAGGGTTTATATTGTTTTCAAGGTAACTATATTAGAATACTCATTTTTGATTGGCAATACAGTTTCCTTTTAATATGCTTGCATTGCAAACCAGACAATTAGTCCCAAGCTCATTGAAAATGTCCCAAGTTTCTTTTTTTTTCTCTTTGCCTTATGTTTAAAAGTATGCAAATTGTCTATGCACGGGGTCACTGGATTCATTTATCTGATTTAAAGATGTGATTACAATTTTTTGTTACAGTAGAGCCATAGCCACTTTTTCACTTGTCAAGTATTTTGTCTCTTCTGTGAAGTGGTATTGAAAACTATGACTAAAGCAAGCACTGTTTGTTTGTAAGCAGTCACATGCTTGCATCTTCTTTACTGCATAATATACTCAGGGTATTCAAATATCCAGCACTCAAGTTGTAAAAAAAATTAACAATGAAAACGATGTTCCCTCCTCACATCGAGCATTGCCTATATCTCATGATCTCTGGCCAGGTGGTTTGGGTGCTTGACTCGCAATTTGAGGGTCGCAGGTTTAGATCCCGTTCCATCAGGCATGCTCGCCCTTTCAACCGTGGAAGCATTATAATGTGATGCTCAATCCCACTATTCATTTGTGAAAGAGTAGCCCAAGAGTTGTGATGGGTGGTGATTATTAGCTGCCTTCCCTCTAGTCATTCACTGTTAACTTAGGGATGGCTAGCACAGACAGCCCTCATGATACAGGTTATTTTAGAAAAATTGTGATGAACAAGTGGAGACATAGGTTTTGGCACTGCTTATTTAGCTAGTATTAACATGTTTTCTCTATAGTTTCGAAAAACTACAAAATGTTTTGTTCAAAATATCCAAGTTTATTTCATTATATCTATGTGAAGAGTTTGGTATGTTTTCATGCCAAAAAGCAAATTTTAAAATTTATTTTCAAATAATTTGGGAGTAGGTGATTGGTTTTAATAACTATAAATATATAAAATGGTAAGTGACTGTTCATGTACACTAAGTGATGTCACAATTTGTTGATGCATGTCTGACTTGAATAATCGGATAGACTTGAGTCAGTTATATCTCCAGTAATATTTAGCTAAACTTTTTTTATATTTACATCACAAAAATTGGGCAGTATAAATAGCATTTTTTTCACTAACAAAGCATTCTTGTGCAAGTCGAGTCTAAATACTATGCGTGACTTGGCAAGATTATGTAAAGTGTTGAGAAATTATGATATGGATTAGGTCCAAAAATGTTACGATACAATCTTGAGTGACGGTGCAAAGATCTCTTCTATGCTTTTCTCAGATGTATTCAGTCTTTTGCATTAACCATATTTTTTAAAATTTTATAATTATGTTTCATAGTTTTCCCATGTAAATGTCAAACATGAAATAATTACATATAGAACTAGAATTTTCCAGTTATAACAGTAAGAGATGTTATTTAATAGGTAAAGATAATACAGAATCAGGTATCTTTTCTTTCTGTACTAGAATTTCAAAATATAGAAATTACAGTTGGAAAGGTAAAACCTATTGGACACTTAAGTTTTCCCTACAATATAGTTACCATAAAGATTTGAATGAAATACAACACTGTTATCATATTCAAACCATTGTAACAGAAATGTTGTGTTCTCGTGGTGTTTCTTCATTTGATTAATATTCATTTATATTAATGAGGGTCCCTTTTTATATATTTTTTTTAATTGTATGGTCTTCTGAAGAAGTATTAAACATTTTTATATATGATCCATTTCCTGTAATAAATTAACTGGTTGTTCACTCGTATCCAAATGTATTTTATAAGCAGCTGAGATATGATGAGCTTTGCATCATGACGGTCTGCCGATATTTAATATGTGGAGACTGATTGCTCTGATTTTCAGCCTAGGATACATGTTTTCACAACAATTTGCAGAACATAGAAGTAGGAACTGTTTGTGTAGAGACACAATTGTCAGGACATGCTTAGTATCGAAACGATGTCATAGTTTTGACAGTAACGTTTAATTTAAAACTGTTTTAAAGTTTCATATATAATTTAATATTTCAGAGTGAGAGAGCTTTCCAAAAGCAGCCAACGGTTTTTCTGAACCGAAAACCCACTCTTGCAAAGCAGAAATCAAAGAAGTCTCTGAGATACGTAAAAAATGTTGGATTAGGCTTTAAAACACCAAAGGAGGTAGGTTTTTACACATTTACTTAACCAGAAATGTCTAGAAAATAACTATTTTTTTAAAAAAATCATAAAATTGTCGTGTGCTGAAAATAAGTATTGTACTGTGAACTATAATTATATCTGTTATTTCAGTTTTATAAGCCATGTAAATAGCATTGGTGGCAGCTTAATATGGGGATTAGTAAATTTTAGCATCATAGATATCCAGAAGATATTTTAACCTTGAATGTAATATCTGTTCTGCTTACTCAGGTTTCAGGCTTTATGTGTTTATTCATAATCTGTTATAACATTCTGAGCATCTGAGAAATGATGAACTTTGCATCATGACGGTCTGCCGAAATAAACTTGTGGAGACTGATTGCTCTGATTCTCAGGTTCTCTTGAAATATTTTTGACAAGCACTAAAAATGAAACAAGAGTTCCAACACCATTGTACAATTATCATTTACCATGTTTCATTTGAATTTCTTGTATTTGTTTAAATTATCACAAGAAAACAGATCCTTAGGTTCTAGAGTGCTTTTCATGTTACTGCCTTAGTTCCACATATTTATTTTTAAAAAATTTAGTTAAATATTTAAGCATATTAGAAAAATTACCATTTATTTTGCAGAAAACTATACACGAAATCAATCTGTGTCATTGGTAGGGTTTGGGTCAGTGAAAAATAGTCAAACCTTAAGAAATGGCGACTGGCTATTTATTTCACTTTAAACTATTTAATGCTTCAGGCACTAATTAGGTAGTTGAATTGGTTATGGTTTGCATGGGTTAGTTGGTACATTTTATTATAGAATTGCTAGATTTGTCAGGTAAATACAGTGGTATAAAATATTTCAATCATGTTGTCCATTGCAAGGCAGGAAGTCATTACAGAACTAACCAGCCAGAGATGTTTTAAAATATAGTTTCTTAATATAACTTATATTAAGTATATAATATGTATAAAAGTAAACTACAAAACATGAATAATCTTCTCTCTCTCCTTTGTAATTTAAAATAAAAATTCTAAACATCAGAACAAAAAGTTCTTCAGTTATGAATGTTTTTAATTCAATTTCATTTGGTTTATTTCAGATATTCAAATTGTATTAGACTAAACTACGATTACATTATGCAGTTGTCACAAGTTTTGAGGTAATAAAATTTGAAAGGAAGACAAATTCTGCAAGATCATTATAAAATCTAATTTAATTGTTTGCATTATGACTTAGAATAAAAATAAATACATATAATTATAAACTGATCTATTTATAGGTCTTTCTGGTAGGTGGTGTAGGATAAATGTGTCTTTAGTTTACAGAAATATGTGAAAATTTTACCCTCGGGATAACCACGAATGATTTCTTTTACATAGATATATTACAATGAACTTGTGAAGTAGCATCTAAGACATTCATATGAAGGCTATTTAATGTTACGCTATAGGCACTCACTGGAACATACATAGATAAGAAGTGTCCTTTCACTGGGAATGTGAGTATTCGAGGGCGAATTCTTCGTGGAGTGGTGATTAAAATGAAAATGCAGCGAACAATTGTAATCAGAAGGGACTATCTTCATTATGTACGGAAGTACAATCGTTTCGAAAAAAGACATAAAAACATGTCTGTTCACTTATCTCCTTGCTTTAGGTAAGTTTGTAACTTTGTAGTTTTGAATATGTTACAATTATGTACTGTTAGGTCACAGTTTGGTAAAAAAAAAAAAAAAAACTTTACTGAAGGTTTAATAGGTTAGTGTTTTTGAATAACTAGTACAGGATGATATGTACACGACGGTCTTCTGAGTAAACCGATCTGAAGAAACTACATGTGTCTTTATCTGATACTTCTATTTTCCACGTTATATTGTTGTGTATATCTAGAATTACATCTGATGTTTTATACATATATTTTTTTTTAGGGATGTGGCTATAGGAGATGTTGTTACCGTAGGGGAGTGTCGGCCTCTTAGCAAGACTGTGAGGTTCAATGTTCTCAAGGTTACTAAAGCATCTGGAGCAAAGAAAGGATTCCAGAAATTTTAAGAGCTGTTTGTATCCATGTTAAAGAGGAAATAAAAAGTCAAAATATGTAATCCTAGTGTTTGTTTATATATCCAAACTGGGAATTTCAGCAATGATATTGATTCACAAAGCTGTTGTAAACATCTTCAAAATGGAAACTTAGTCACTTTATTTAACAGACATGCTTTACAGCTAGTAATTGACACATTATCTTCGTATATGATTTAACCAACATCTATCCCTTTTAACCCCTTCGAGATGGGTCACGGGTGAAAGGCCATGTCATCTCGTTTCTTGGCTCGCGTTCAAAATTTTATTTCAAATTTTAGTATTATACATTACTCAGTTTTTTAATCTAAAAGCAAATATTAAAAAATAAAAATCAATTTTTTTTTGTCACATGGTATGTTGAATGAATCACTGGTTCAAATTGGATGTTCGAAGTCAAAATACTATAAGTATAGTTTCGTACAAATTAGAAACTCAAATTACCGATATTGACAAGCTATAATATAAAATAAGAGCCTCTTATCTTTTCAATTTGCTAAGATATTGCTTATATAATAAATCAAACATAGTGGCACCCTGTCCATCTCTTTCCATTTTTGGAAATTCTCTTATATACAAGCTCAGAATGTCCCCCTAGTGGCTTTCTCGTGCATTGTAGTGAGCCATTTCTTTCTTTTGAACCAATATTCCAACGAGGTAGGTGTTTCTTTAGTCTGCTTGAAATTTCGCATTTTTTTAGACCCAAATACAGCTAAATTAGTGTAATTCTGTACTGTTAATATAGTAATTTATGATTTGTTAGTTATTCAAATTTATATATAAAACCTAAAAAAAATATTTCGTATCCTCCATGTGCAAATTTTAAAAGATTCATTAACCAAGTACAAATATTGTAACTAGAAGAGATAATTGTTTGCTTTACTTCTTTAGTTACAGTTCTGTGTTTTAAAAAAAATAAGATTAAGAACTTGTTTCAAAATACTAATAATCTATAATAATTGAAATGTGACTGTATTTTACAGAATACTAGTCTACTTAAACACAGTCAAAAAAAGTTACTTTGTACAGACCAAATAGCAGTTTTATGTTATTTGATATGGTAACGGGTGCACGTGAGCTACATCATTGTTAGCCAGGCACGGCTAAAATGTCAATACAATAAATGTATAATGTTATGAGATTTAAGCTATTTTGTCTAAACATTTATGTTTTTGTGATATAATTTCTGTTCATTGTGGAATGAAAGGCATAATTTATATTTATTTCGTAATTTTTTTTTATGGTGTTTGTGAGATTGGTCAAATCTACCGAACCCATACAGAGATTAATTACTGAGAATAACGGATAAATATAAAGTTTTTTCATAAGAAACACTTGACAACTATCTGCATGTGAAATTTCAAAATTTTCTGATGGATAAAAGGATTTTTAATCTTAAAATGAAAATTACTTTGCACGATAGATAGGCAACGTGAAAAAGAAGAGAAAATCATTGCTCTACAAACCTTAAGACTTAATAATAAAAACTTATATTTTGTGTTTGAAAGCATTGTAATCTGCCAAATTTTATTAACTTTCACTTACTAATCTAAAAGTTATAGCATAAACTATAACAAGCACAGGGATCGAGCCTGTGTTAAGATTTATCTTAAATGTGTATTTTAGTTACATACAACATTTCCAGTCTTTGTTTTGATTTATACACACTTATCACTCTTAAGTTAACATGTTCAGTAATTCTGTCATCGTGAATTATAATTTGGGAGTATACTAAAAACCTTGTCTTTACTAAAGCATATGTTATAAACCATCTTTTTATTTGGTGCTCAGATGCTGAGTAAACTACCTGGTTTTTACATACACTGAAGTAGCAACTCTCAAATCTCTCAACATTACGATTAATGTTATCTGAAATTTAATCAGTTTTTTCTGTAGTACTAGACTTAGTGTTCTTAATAGAAATTGTTTACATGAGTGTTTTTTGTTCCACATTTACAGTGTTATAATGTTGTTACAGCAAAGTATTTAAAAAAACACGTTTTAGTTAGCACCAATTGTTACTTTATTAAGCCAGTCCAAAAGTTATTAACAAAAAACAAGGTAGTTAAAAATGGTTATCTAACTGACCACCACGACTATGATGAAGTTTCGTTGCAAAAATATCTCCAGTTGTACAAAAGTTTATCTAAATAGCATTTGTGATTTTTATTACTCTAGAGAGAAAATATATCAAACATTTATATTCAAAATTTTAAAAATCAAAACATTCCAGTTATGTAGAATATTAAGGCACAATTTTTAATGTTTGCAAAGAATAGAGAAAAAAATCTCTTTTTACCAAATTTTTTTTTAAATCAATCAATGGGGACAATGAATTCTATATATGTCAATATTTTGAGTCTTCAGGGAGCATTAGTCACAAAATAGATATTTTAACTTTCACAACTCTGTCATATTCCTGTTGATATGACACTAGTAATATACAAACTTAAGATAGCTTTTAAGATTAATAAACTATAAATGTAAAATAACATTCTCTAAAATTAGATATAAAATTCATTCTAATAACTTGCATGATGCTAATTTCAGTCACATACGTTAAAATAATTCTTTTTGGAGCGGGGACTACAGATAAATACATATACTCAAGTATGCACCTGATATTATAAAGTATGATATCAAATCATAAAAAATAAGTGGAGAATCTTTATAAAACTGTTACTCTCAATGGCTTTATGAATTTTGTTCAGTATGAGTGAGGTAATGCCACGGAAACGTTTAAGCTCAAATACATGGTGAATTGTAATTAAGCTTCATCAACATTTTAACAATAATACCTTTGGTTGCTGTGAATGATGCATTTTGAGGCAATGTTTAAAATGAAAAACCTGAACAAATGTCACATTATTTACTATTATTGAACTTGCCTTTAAGCTGACATCCTAACACATTGAATTTAATTATAAAACCATTACAAAACTAATTTATTTTACAATGAGAGAGGAAATGCTTGAATAACCTTGCTTGTTAAATACTATTTTGACAATTCATCATGAAGTCAGTGAACCGGTTGGTGCAAATAGTTTCCGGAAACTTGACATATAAAACTTTCCAATAAATACCAGATGTGGCAGTAGTGTAACCTTCATAAGTACACATTTAATAACAATCACTAAATATAGTTTATATCTAATGTGTAACAAACCGGTGACATCAATTGGTAAAGTTGCATGCAGTAGTTAAGGGTTTCCATCATTAAACATCAATACCTAACTAGAAATCTACCAACAATAATTTAGTATTACCATTACCTGCTTTAGGTCCAACAACAGTCCTCTGAATATCAGGTAGATTTCTTCAAAATGAGCTACAAGGAATAATGATTGTTTTTGGACAATCCAACAAAGCTACTTAAAGGCTATCTGTGCCTACTGTCCCTAATTTTTAAATGGTGGACTAGATAGAAGACAGCTAGTCAATAGCACCCACTGCCTTCTCTTGTCTGATCAAATAGTTAGATTTGACTACTGCCACTATAATGCATCCACAACCCAAAGCATAGTTTTTTCTTTGAGTTTCCAGTAATGGGATTTGAACAGTGGATTCCCATGTTTATAGTTTGTACGGTAACAATGAATACAAATGGCTTATAACTAAGAACTACAATCACATTTATTGCACGTGTGCTTATGCTTTGAACTCATTCAGCACTGAATCTCAAGACAGAGTAAAATACGTGCAATATGTTTTATTTTCTTTACTCGTAATGAAATGTTTCACTGGTAGTTTAGAAAGATTGTTTTTTTTAGGTCAAATACAAACATTTGTTGAGGAAGAACACAGATGTATGTCTCAAAATGCTATACATTTTACAATAGTAAATATAAAATACAAGTTTTTAATCTAGATTATCATTACCCGATTAAAGTTTCACCCAATTAATAACTTCCTTCTAACTTTTACCACTTCACCTATGTCCCCTAGTAAGTCAGCAGTAAATTTATGAACTTACAGTGCTAAAACTTGGGATTTGGATCCCATGATAAACACAGTGCATATAGACCACTGTGTTGCTTTATGTTGAGAAAACCTACTTAACCTATATTATGATGGTATTATTTAAACTTTTATTCAAAATTATCTGTCACTATCATTTGAAGCAAAAAAGGCACATTGTTTACTTCTGTCTCATTCTGATGCTCTACAGATTAGTAAAATTTTTTTTATACACCTATAAACATTCTTCAAAAGTTCATATTATTCTGATACAATGGTATAGGTTAGTGGTTCCCAAACTGTTTGTGGACAACCTGAGTCTTTTGTAAATATATATATATATCTCTAGGCAGATTATATAAAGTTCTTCCCAATTGCTACAATTAATGATAAAATATGAACCACATGTTCTGAAGTTAAAAATAAAAACTACTTTTTAACATTCAGTTATTTAAATGGTATTTGATGTACCTTTATAATTGCACTTTTTTTATATTTTAACCTATTAGGACTTTGAAGCATATAGAAGATTGTGAACAAGGGGAGTAGATAATACCCCCCTTTAAAAAAAACTTGCATGGTTCACTTTAGACGGTTTCTAAAAATCGACTGGCCCTAGTTGTGCTTTATCCATTTGGAATAACTTCAAAGCTTTTACGAAAAATAAGATTAAGAACATAAAAACTAGTTAAGTAGCGAATTATAACAAATATTTTGTTTGTTCTTCTATAAATACTTTTAAAGCAATAGCAGTCCAACAAATAGAAATAAGCAGAACACTGTCTAAATATCTTTTCCTGTAATCGTTGTTTTCACAAGAAATTTAACAATGAATAGTATGAATTATTCTAGTAACTATCAGATTTAATCAGGAGTCCATGTATACTGTGAACTATGCTCTCATATCTTATATGAGCAACCTGTTATTTAAAGCAGTTTTTAAAACAATTTCAACAAAGCAACTTCAGAACACATGCATTTAATTATTGACTTTAAAATTGCTTGAAGACCGTAAACTTTTAAAGATGGCTGTGGTAAAGACAAAGATACTGCACAAATAAATATTTTAATGGTGTGAAATACCAATTAACCATTTCTTGTAACACATCATCGTCAATACCCAAAAAGTTTAAGACCAGAGCATTTATGTGTTCTGACATAGAATTATTGACATTTTGGTCTCCTACTTTTATTTTGAAAGCAACATTAAACATAATTTTAACCTTATAACTTAATCACATTATTTTAATACACCTCGTGTACTATTAGTTATAAATCTTTCATAATGTATTGCACAATTAGAAACCTATGGCACTAATATACAGCCAAATAGTTAAAACTATAAGGTTATTAGTATTCTTGGGGAAAAAAAATTCACATAATAAATTCAAAAATAACAGAGACAAGGTAAGCACAACTAAAGTTGCTGGTTTGTGTTAACTTTTTCTAATAACCTTTACAACTTTTCAAAAATACTGTTTTAGTCTTATTATAGAACTTGTTTCATCATAAAGGATTTAATTCTTTTTTCTATATAAATCTATGATAAAAATAATCCTTATTTTTATGACTAATTATAGATATAAAAAATGACAATCTGGTTAACTATAATATGCTGTGCTGTTGCAACACAAATATTTAATACGTTTTTGTCTGTTAATACTTTATTTTATATGATGTTGATTTATTATGTTTTGTAAGGAAACAAAAAATTAGTTATAACAATGTATACACAAAAATGTATAAAAAAATATTAAATTCTGATTAGTCAATTAATTGTGATAGTTTTTACATGAACATAAGCAACTAAAATGACAAACTAAATGAACCAAAATAGATTAAATTCAACTTTGTCATCCAGTTTATATTGATAAGAAACATGTTTATATTTCAACTTTGCAGTAGAAATTGACAGTTCTTAAAAACATTTTTGATGAGACCCAAAATGATCACTTCTTTCATTGTCATAGATGAAAAGCTGTAACATAATCACAACTCATAAGAAATTGGGCTCAAACTGTAACGACACATTCAAAGAGCTAAGATTTGAAATATGTTAAAAAAAAGTTGGAGTGAACACATTAATATATATATGAAAATAAGATTGCCAAAGTGTTTTACTGAAAACTGAGTTTGTTTAGTATTGATACCAGGGCTGCTTGCGAACCCAACGAACTTGAATACCAGAATCTGTGCGGATCTTGATGGAGGCAGCCTCACAAGCTCGAACAGTTTCTTTCACACTTTGCATGAGGTTTTGAGCATTACCTACCAGCATGTCTGTAGCCTCCTGATCTTCCTCTGTTCCTGAGAGTTCCCAAATAATTAGAATAAGAGAGTTAACAAAAAAGAAACCTAATCTTTCTAAAAAAAAGGTTTAACATTTTTTTAGAGAAATGCGTTTATAGACAATACATAGGAGAGATCATATAAATCAACAGCCATATGTCACCAAACCTTGCCAAATGCCTTTAGTGATCATTAATACACTGATTAACACATTGACTATGGCTGCTCTAAATGTGCATGGAATTTTTGCACGCCATACACCATATATGGTACACTCGCATTCAACTGTTGGAGGCGGACTGTACCCTATAAGGTGAATCAGAAGTCAATGGGTTAAGAATACAAACTTGCAGTAAAGATATAACCTCAAACCATACTCTCTTCAATACTCATCAGAATTCAAACTAGACTCTGAATTAACTAAATTCCTGAAATATTTTCAAAATAAAACTTTTCAATACAATTCCACGACATTTCAAATTGCCTTATCTATATACTTATGCCATTTCTGCTCTAATAATTTTTTTGTTTTGTTTGGTGTTCTCGCAAATTCTGTTGGAAGTGAGTATCCGGGAGTAGAACTAGCATCCTAATTCGGACACTAGGTGAGCATGTTTTGGTGTGATGGGGATTCAAACCTGCAACCCTCAAATTGTGAGTCGAATACCCTAACCACCTGGCCATGCCGGTCATTTATAGTTACTAAAATTTCATTTCAAATGATAACAATAAAAAGTTAAAAATATCCTAAACAAAACTTTAAAAATGAGTAGTGACAAGTTAAAATATTTTGGAACTCTTTATGATCTTAATATCTGAAAGCTATTTTTTGTCATTTGTCTTTTTTTCCATCCAAAATTGTTTAATTTGAACATTAAATTAAAAAATGTAAAAAGGAAGTTTAAAATGTCCCCATATTTGTTAGCAATTAATCGTTAAAAACTTTGTGTATAAATATTAAAAGCACTATGTGAGATCTGGACAACATAACTCAGTTCTCATAAAATCTTGTAATAGTTCAAAATGTAACAGTTTTACACTCATTGCCAAGCTACCAGACACATTAGCAGGAAATTAACTTTTGTGTAAGAAATAAATTTTCTTCCTAAGAACATGCTTCAGCTGACTCAATGTGGCTTAAGTATAAGACACACAGAAAAGAAAGTTGCTTGTTTACAATTACAAGAGATGTGACTTAAGTAAGAGACAGACAAAGAAAAGGTTGCTTATTTACATTTACAAAAGATGTGGCTTAAGTACGAGACACACACTCAGAAACGAAAGTCACTTGTTTACATTTACAAGAGATGTGACTTAAGTAAGAGACAGACAAAGAAAAGGTTGCTTATTTACATTTACAAAAGATGTGGCTTAAATACGAGACACACACTCAGAAACGAAAGTCACTTGTTTACATTTACAAGAGATGTGACTTAAGTAAGAGACAGACAAAGAAAAGGTTGCTTGTTTACATTTACAAAAGATGTGGCTTAAATACGAGACACACACTCAGAAACGAAAGTCACTTGTTTACATTTACAAGAGATGTGGCTTAAGTACGAGACACACACTCAGAAACGAAAGTCACTTGTTTACATTTACAAGAGATGTGGTTTAAGTATGAGACACACACAGAAAAGAAAGTTGCTTGTTTACATTTATAGAAGGTTATTGTATGTAACTCCTGTCATGTACAAACTAAGTGGTTTCAAAGACACTCCATAACAGTTTTGTCAAGCGAGTAGTATGGTAAACAGGTATGTAGAAATAAAATAACATTAATTATGTTTTTCAAGTTTAATTTACAAGCAGAATTTGTTGTTTTACATTCTAGTTCACTTACAACTGTTAACAATAATTACTTTTAACATTCAAATCTCAAAGGACAAGTTAAAAAGCTTGTATTAGTATCAGAAACATCCAATGATTGAGCCTAAACATACGTAAAATATAGGTCAGAAAAGTCTGTCTGTTCCTGCTTTATACAGACATTCCCAACTACTAACTCTTTCACATCACTTAAAACACACACACTATATCAACATGCTATTAGGCAAATTACAATTTTGTACTGATGTTCACATGAGACACAAGTTTTCCAGATGTTCCCAAAAAAAAAAAAACATGCTGAAAACTAAATGGAGTATATTACCACAAATAATTTGACTGCCATCTGGTGTTGGGACTGGTGCTGTAAAAATAATTTAATCTAATTTCAATATCAAACACATAGAAACACTAGTGTTTGAGAATACAATTTTGGACTAAATAACATTCGAGGAATTTCTTGCATTAGATGTTTCAACCACACTTACTTTTTTTTTTTTATAAAGTTCCAAATATAAATTTGTAGCAACAAATGTGCAAGTTTTATTTAAGAACATTTCATAAGTTTCTTTTTTTAATGGATCTAATAATGACCAAAGTTATACAGGGTGTTCCAAAATCACTTATCCCCCCCAAAAAAGCCACACAGCTAAATGTAAGAATGCATTAGCACCAAAATGTTTATAACTGTAACTAACACTACTGTGTTTCTTATCACCAGGACACAGGTCAGTTGCACCAATGAAAAACATTGTATCCACGTGTTGGAAAACAAAGTTTACAACTGTGGTACATGTTCAATCGCTACGACTTCTCTTTTATTTGCTATAAAGAACATCTAGAATTGCAGTTCTCTAGATGGTACTCTTCACCTCTAGTTACAAATATGTAAAATTTTGGAGCCATTTATTTTTATGTTTGGATGATAAATTTCCATACACCCTTTAGTATTACCCCATTTGCTTCAATCCACCCAGCTGTATACCACATAACCGGCATCTCATCCAGAAGGATTGTGTTACCGTTCTCATTCACTTGTGCCACAGAAAACTGAACATAAGCACCAGCCTTACATGCCTTTTGAGGCACGATAAGGATTGCCTTACCTTATCTTCTGTAGTATCATGACTCAATTGTGAATCCATGTACACCAATTTGAAGCTTATCAAATCAGACCTTAAAATAATAAATTTACCTAAGATCAGGTCATTTAAACTTCCCCAGAATCCACATAGTTTAATTATATTCCATAACTGTATTTTTTAACTTCCTTCAGTATCAAGCATTTTTAAATAAACCATGGATAAAAATCCCAACAAGCTAAAAAAATTATACAGTTTGAGTTTCATTAATTAAGCAGCCATGGATATTCACCATTACTTCATCAAATTATACTCAAAAGTTTCAGATGATAGACTTTATCCTCTAGCAACAAATTAAATTAGTAAACAAAGCTGAAATAACTAGAAAGAAAATAAGATAACTGCCAAGATCTTACCTTGGGCACCCAGCATTGTTGCTTTCACTGTTGAGAGAATTCTCAGTTGAGTGCCGATAGTTGGAATTCGCTCACAGATCTGGAGGATGTTCTGTTAAAACATTAGAGTTATTAAAATTTTAACAATGTTTTATATGAAATTAACAAATTATTAATTTACCAATAACTCGTATATACTATCCAGAATATCTTACAATAAAGTTATTTAGAGCATTTTAAAACTCCTTGCAAATAAGTTCAATCGATATGACTGAGCCACTTCTTGTTATAACTTTGATATTAACCTTTCAACTACTCTCAATGAAAAAATAAGTTAGTAAACAAATATGAAATAACTATAAACAAAATAAGGTAACTGTACGAAGCTCAGCATGTTCTCTTAGTATGTTACACATGAAAGAAACTGTTATTGTAAAGCTTTGTGTATATTGATTGTATATTTCATTATAATATTTGTCATTTATATCAAAGATACTGTTTTGATCACAAGAAAGTGTCATTTAGGGTTTTTTTTAAAGTGTTATGTTTGTATTTGAAACATAAATTACTTCTCCTCCAATTAAGGACAGGGGCATAATGGAACCAGCACTTTCTTCAGTCTCATGGTGCTCAGCTGCTAATAATTATAATTATTATCATACGTATTTATTATTTTTCTTTCTTAGAACTTGTGTTAAAAACTATATAGCGATAACAATTATTAATACTGAATCCACATTAATTCCGCCTGGTATACAATTTAAATGCAAGTATTAAAAAATACTATTCTTTCAAATAATGTGTGTGTGTGTGTGTTTTTCTGTGGATTCATTTATCATCAGGATAGCTACAGAATTGTTTTTTTACCACTATATCACTGACAATAGCCCTAAACATTTATTGTTTTTATCTTATTTTACAAAAAACACAGTTACACAAAATGTATAAACACCCAATATAAAACAATTTCTACTGACTGTTCTCATGCGTTTATCTGTGCAAATTCGAGCCTGTTCTTTTGCCAATCTAGTTACTTCTTCAGAAGCTTCTGCAATGGCTTTGGCACATGCTATCAAATCTTTCTTGGAGCCTCCTTCTCCTCTGTTACACAAACAAAAAACACAACTATATTATCTTCACATCAAAGTACCTTAAATCTAAAAAGAAACTTTGAATAAACTAAATAAAAAATTAACTTAATTGAAAATTGGATACAATTAAAACAATATACAGGCAGGAATAAGAATGAAAGAATAATCTAAATCCAGAAAAATTTCACGAAGTCCATACTACCTACATTAGACTTATGTTGAATTGTTAAAGACTTATAAGGTATATACAGTACAAAGATATCATAGATCAACATGCAACCTACATAAATATGCCTGTAAAAATAAAACTTAATTAAATTTACATTGTGTAATCTTTTTTAACTGTAAGTACAATGACATCTCAAAAAGTTAAGCCTAAATCAAATTACAAAAAACTGATGTTAGCCACTCTTACCTAACCAGCTGGCTAAGATTAGCCATTAACAAAGCCATCTTCTTAGCAGCAGCAACAATTTCATTGTCCTTGCTTGACCACTGTTTGACCTCTTGATGTAGACCATGAGCAGCCATCTAGTTAACATAAAAGAGTTGACTAATTCAAACATGTTGACTTGTAACTACTAAATACAGCCACCTACTGGATGCAGATAAAAAAAATATTACATGTTGACTTGTATCTAATAAATATAGCCACCTAGTGGATGCATATAAGGAATATTCCACACTGACAAGTAACTAACAAATACAGCATTTAGTTTATTTAAGGTGATTCAAAATGATCCATCATATCATGGATGCAAATTTAAACATTAACTTGAAACTAGTAAATATTCCTAACAAATAAAGAACATCTTTAGATATCTTTTCAACACACATTTAATCACCAAACAAACTTTGCTATCAATATATAACTGAATGAATATACCCATTTACAAGTTAATTTACATTTTCTTCTTTAATGTTATCAATAATCTGCCTTGACTAGACTATTTTAAAACTACATATAACAGGTAATTACAATATTATTTCTTTTACATTTTTTTATCCTTGCTGATAGTAAAGAAAATAACTACTACTATACATTGCTCATAAACAATGATTAGAAAATATTTTTGAACATTTTGAGAGCATTTTATGAGTCTTTTTATTGTCCAAGTTTTTTTAAAAAAGAAAGCCCTGTTTCTAAAACAGGTTAAATAGGGTATGAACAAATTTGTTTACTGGCAAACTTTGATAATAGGGAAGAGATAGTCCTGCTATAAATGAACCTTAGCAACTATGATGTTTTATAGGTATGCATATAATACTCCATAACTTAATACTTTCCTATAGTCTGTAGTTCCCCTTAACAAAATTTTAAAAAGAACATTATCTTATCTAGAACATCCCAAATCCAGTTGAGTTCATGTGCTAAATTCAGTACAAGGTGTTTGTTTCTGTAGTCTGGTCAAGGAAGTTGTTTGATGTTTCATATTAAAGTTGCATATTATCAGACTTGAAACTGTCAAGTGAAAGATATTTTAGCATTACAATGCTCATTTAATGAATGGCTAGCTTCAGAAAATGTGTGTATTAAGAGGGTAGTTTTAGTGCTTTTACACCAAATTAATTCTGACTTCTGAGGACTTCAGAGCATAGACATGTAAGTTTTGTCCTTGTCTTACCAATCATTGCTGCTGATCATATGATTGCTTTTAACAGGAGAAAATTAAACTATATTGTTTATTTACATATTCATTTGCAACAGTCTTGCCACTTAACAATTAGCTTATCACTTTCACTTCAGCCTCGATACATAAAGCATTTGATTTGATTATTATATTGATATTGACACTGTCATCTCTTTCCAATCCATCATTTACCTTTCCAAAAAATTTCAACACTATTGGGTAACAACGAGCATCTCTTATAAAGTTAAAAAACAAAGTTAAGACAGTTTTAAATTTGGAAATGTTAAGTAACATTAAAGAACATTATAAAGTTTTCTGATACATAACCCAATATACTAGAGAAACTACAGTTATGTCAGTAATAGCTACACATCTTTACTATTTCTTGAACTTAAGTAGTAGTTGTGATATATTTAAGTTTATTCCATGGGTAAACAAGTTCCTGACACAAAAGAGTAATCTCAAACTTACCATAATGGTTGAGTTGAAAAAGTAAGATCTAAGTTACCATGGTGGGCTGATCTTGGAAAGAATGATCTAACTTACCATGGTTGGCTGATCTGAAAAAGTGTAATATAAAACTTACCGTAATGGTTGATTTGAAAAAGTAAGATCTAACTTACCATGACTGGCTGATTTTGGAAAGGGTGATCTAAAACGTACCATAATTGGTTGATTAGGCTGAGGAGCAGGGAAAGTTGCTTCAAATTCATCATCTGTTTCTGGAGGGGGAGGACGAGGTGGAGGTACTTCTTCTTGGCCAGGCAGAGGAGGTCGTGGAGGAGCTTGTTCTTAAAGATTAAATCCCATATAGTCAGTAATTATTAACAATTTTTCTGTATAATCTCATAAATATGCCAACCAAGACATATCCTTGGTATTGGTTCTCCAAGAAACATTATCGGACTGAAAGAACACTTTTCTATGCATTAAAAATATTTTGTTAACAGTGATGCTGATGAACAATTACTTCTTCTGTAAATGGAACTCTGGTAAAACTCTTATCCTGTTTGTATGCATAAGTATAAAAAAATCCCTCTGTTTACTTTATACTGATAAAGGAAGTGTCATGTCTTGCAAAAACTGAATCTTTTTAACACTTATTTATAACGTTTCAGTTTGCATCATACAAACGTTCCTCACTTTCTGAAGTTAATTTGCAGTACATCAAGTAGTTGATTTGAAATTGTATAAACTGCTTTTGACTGAAAGCAGGACACTGAAAAATACAACCCCACAAAGCAAAAACCCTGTTCTTTCTGTTAGACTCTATTTGTGTGAATCTAGAGCAACTAAATCAATCGGGTTCCAAACTTACCTCAGAAAATTTCTCTAATTTTTTTACAGGTTGTTATCCACTCACACAGAACCTTTTTGAAAATTAATTTTGAATTACTTTATAAATAACAAAAGATATTAATGTAAAATGTGAGCCAAGTAGCTTTGAGGCAATACTAGTTTGTATCCAGTTAGAGTATGCACAGCTAAACATGTGATTAAAGTAGGCTGTCTTCTCTAGTAAGACTATTCCTGGTTTCTGCTGTCTACCAAATTTTTAAAGATTAGAAAAAGGTATTCAAAGTTAATAAATTCTAGTAGCCTGTCTTTAGCAGAAACCTGGATATATTCTGTAGGAATCTGGAAAATAACTTGAATATAAATTATGTATTATTTGTCCTCACTTCAATATAAAAGATACCTGTAACAGGTCTTAACAGCTTCCAAAAAAACGAGAACAAACTAGTAGTTATTTCTACACTAAATTTAGATTTTATCTGAATATGAAGTTTCAATATAATTACATAAAATTCCAATCATTAATGTTTCTTAATAATCGTTTTAGTTTGTTATATTCGTTTTTTGTGCTTGATTGTTCAACTGATACTCATTAACTACAACATAGGTGTACTGAAATCTTTTAGAGAATTGTTTGTTTGTTTGTTTTTTAATCATATTTTCTCTCTCTAAACGGACCTGGCCAGGTGGTTAGGGCGCTCGACTCGCAGTCTGCAGGTCGCGAGTTCGAATCCCTGTCACACCAAACATGCTCGCCCTTTCAGCCGTGGGAGCGTTATAATGTGACAGTCAATCCCACTATTAGTTGGTAAAAGAGTAGCCTAAGAGTTGGCAGTGGGTGGTGATGACTAGGTGCCTTCTCTCTAGTCTTACACTTCTAAATTAGGGGCGGCTAGCTCAGATAGCCCTCGTGTAGCTTTGCGCGAAAAAAAATATATATATATATATATGTATATCAGTAAATTCTTGAATTAAGTTCATATCCCCATGGATGGTTTCATTATGAAATTTAAATTTCATGACTTCTAACATTAGTATAATGTAATTATTGACAGTATGTATTCGTTGTCATAGATGATGAAGCATTCAACTTGTTTAAGGGATAAATTTATACAAAAATATTATTCAATCTTCATAAAATAAGAAATTAAATATTTCAACTTTCCCTAATCTAAGACTGTTTTTGGTAAATACTACTTAAAATAAACCAGAGAGATAAAGCAAAATTATTTCAAACCTAATACTATATTTATTCAAAGTTAAATTAATTCACAAAATCAACAAAAAATGTTATACACAATAACACAAATGTATTAATATTCTCAACTTAAAAAAACAAAAACAATTCAGGAGGTTAAAGTTGCAAGCCTTAATTTACAAAACACGTGCAACATTCGACCAAATAAGTTAGCAGGATTAGCAAAACCACTTGCAGCCCCAGCTTGCCGATATTCATAGTTGAATATTTTCACACTTGAAACTAATTTACGAGGAGAAATATGTTAAACAAATAAAACCTCTTATTTCAAAACCCAGATATCCATGCACACACACACACAGTTTAACCCTTTGACTGCACCTGCTTTAAACATGTGTGGAAATTTTGCAAGCCATATACTGTATACAACACACACATTCAACTGCCAGAGGTGGACAGTACCCTATATGGTGAATAAAAAGTCAATGGGTTAACAAAAGATATAACAGTATCAATATTCCTAGTATCATATATATTTTAAGGCTTACACAGTTATACTAAACGAGTCCTAAGTAATTAATAAGAACTTCTATATTTTGAAGCCAGTCCTGCATAACAAACTGACCAATGGAACTTAATGTCATAAATCAATAAAAAAAGTATAATGATTAGAAGCATATTGCATCATCATCAGTTGGTACCCTCACTATTAATGGATATATTTTTTTTTCCATAAAAAAACACTAATAAAGGAGACGAATTATAAAAAACAATGAATGAATATTAAAAAGGCTTGGCTGATTATCTGTTTTTAGTGGGGTTTTTTTCACTAACAAATAGCTCTTATCAAACTGAGTTTCTTCATACACTTAACATGACATTAGTTTCTGAGAAGTGTAAGTACTGTTATCTTGTTGTTGTTGTTTTTTACAGCTTCCTGATGCAAAGATTAATATAAAAGTTCCTCCATCCTCAAAAAAAAATTCTTTACATGAGAAAAAAGCAAAACAATCTCTCTCTCACACACTGAACAATAAGCAAAATTATACAAATTATATCTTGTTTAACAATAACACACTTGGTGCGTGTTGCATTTTTAAGCACAAAGTTACCTGTGCTGTGACTGCCACAGGTATTGAAACCCAGTCTTAAAGGGTGATATGCTTTCAGGCTTACTACTGATCCACTGGGGGAATTATGTAGCATGAATAGAAAATAATGCACAAAATAAATCTTTTTCAGTACGATGGAATACACACATAGTAAAGAAAGAAAGAAAAAAGGTACTGATATACACTTCTTATGTTACGTAACATAGATTTAAAAGCAAGTTTGGCATCCAGAAGATTTTTGAAAGTACTCTTAACCTACAACATTATCTTCACTGTTAGTTACTGAGAAACTTGAGTGCAAATACACATCTCACTATTCTTAACCTGCAACATTATCTTCACTGTTAGTTACTGGGAAACTTGAGTGTAAACACGTCTCACTATTCTTAACCTGCAACATTATCTTCACTGTTAGTTACTGGGAAACTTGAGTGTAAACATGTCTCACTATTCTTAACCTGCAACATTATCTTCACTGTTAGTTACTGGGAAACTTTAGTGTAAACACGTCTCACTATTCTTAACCTGCAACATTATCTTCACTGTTAGTTACTGGGAAACTTGAGTGTAAATACACATCTCACTATTCTTAAACTGCAACTTTATCTTCACTGTTAGTTACTGGGAAACTTGAGTGTAAATACACATCTCACTATTCTTAAACTGCAACTTTATCTTCACTGT